CCCCAAAACCCCAAAACCCCAAAACCCCTTTAGGTTCTTAAAAAATTGTAATAAGAATGAATATAAACATGCCTAATAAAACCGAAGACTGACAGAATTCAAAACTGTTAGAAGATGAAGCGTCGGATGCTGACCTTCAAGTGGTTCAGACTTCAAATTGAAAGAAGATATTCTTTCAGGTTTATGTTTTCATACTGACCTTTCTGACATATGCTGTTTTACACTTAAGCAGAGAAGCATGGTCCTTCCTCAAAGAGGAAGTCAAAGAAGAACAGTCTCCTGGAATCGGCCTCTCAAGTAATGACTTGGGCACCATTGATATGTTCTTCTTGTTTTCGTACTCAATCGGACTGTTCATCAGCGGCATTCTTGGAGACAAAATGAACAAAAACCTCCTGCTCGGGTGTGGATATTTGGTAGCTGCTGGAGCAACAGTCATGGTTGGGCTTGGAGGCCTTTGGAAAATCAGATCAGTTTGGTATTATGTAGGATTCTTTGTGATAAGTGGGTTTGCTCAATCTGTTGGATGGCCCTCAGTGGTCGCAGTCATGGCCAACTGGTTCCCTAAGAAAGGCCGAGGCTTCTGGTTCGGTGTCTGGACCTCCAACCCCAATGTTGGCAACATCCTCGGCACACTTGTTTCAAGTCTGGTTAATGGGGTTATTGGGCTGAGTTGGGGCTGGACTTGGATAATTGTAGCAATAATTGTTGGGACTTTTGGGGTGATTAATTTCATCTTTATGATTGAACATCCCAATAAGGTCGGTGTGGTGATTCAGGACGAGCTTGAAGAGCATGATACTATGGTCTTAGAGCATATTGATATATCAAGAGAACATGGTGAAGAGTCTATGAGAAGAAGGGATCTTACTAATGATGATGAGGAAGAAAAACAACCACATGAGAGAGAATCTCAAGATGTCCAAGAAGAGTTGGAAGCAGTGCAGAGTCATCATGAGCATAAAAAGTTCAACTTCTTCCGGGCTTGGCTGATCCCTGGTGTCATCCAATACTCCATCTCATATCTTGCCCTCAAACTTTGCAATTACGGTATATTACTTTGGTTACCCACTTATGTGTCGGAAGAGCTAGACTTTTCTACCAGCGAGAAAGCCCTTGTTGCCATTCTCTACGATGTCGGCACCATCATCGGCAGCGTGTCTCTGGGGCTCCTGTCAGACATGATGTACGGAAAGCGAGTCCCAGTGTGTTTTGTTGGACTGTTAATAGCAACATGTTTGCACTCCACTCTGATATTCCTGGGCAACAACGAGAAAGTCATCATTTTCATAGTAATCTTTATCCTGGGGTTCTTCATCGGATCCATTGCAAATATCATATCTGGGACGGCATGTGCTGACATTGGCAAGCACGACTCCATCAAAGGTAATGACTCGGCCTTGTCGACTGTCACCGGGATAGTAGACGGAACAGGATCTCTGGGAGCTGCTGCTGGGCAGAAAGGAATAGGATACATTCAGGACAACGCGAATTGGACAGCAGTATTCATAATGATGACATCGTTTGTGTTTATTAGCTCAGTACCAATTTCATGAATCTTTGTAAGAGAAATAAAAGAGATATTCGCCATTAGGAAATCTACAAAGGAAGAGAAAAATGTAAGATCTTTCTAGTAATTAAAAGTAACCAGCCTATTTATTAGTGTATACATTCAATTTTTCTGTATAGAATCGGGGTTTTGGGGTTTTGGGGTTTTGGGGTTTTGGGG